AAGACAACTATATTAAAGAAATATTCAGGATATATTTAAAATGTATAATTGAAAGATCAAACTTTTTCGTATTCCTAGGAAGAATCGCGATAACCGGCGTCTTCACCACGTAGCAAATTAATAATATACTTTCTCTGTTCTGGTTCAACTGAATTTCGAAGCCTAAATACTTGAAATATAAGAAAGTTTCCTCGAAAGCATTAACAGGCGGCATATTTTTGATACGCGACTATAAACGCGTCAACGCGAGCAAAATTATTGTTGACATTTGAGTTACGTAATTACTTCCGTTAACGAGATTAACCAATGGGAAGCTTTTCCGAAGATTCTTCGGAGAAGAACAAATTAATCATAGGCATTTGGGCAGGCGTTCATTTAACGACGCCTTTTCTTCTCCCGCCCGCACTAAACGCCTGCTACGCAGGCTAATAGTAGACTGAATATAGCTTCTCTAGGTGTGAAAAGTGAAGCCAAATTATATATGCGAAAATCACTTCCGGGGACCACGGAGTGATACAAATTACTATAGAAATGTATGGCCAACAACGTGAACCAAGGTGAATTTTCCCGAATTTGAGATACTTTGCGAAGTTTTACCAACCTGATCGCTACATCGTGGGTAAAAGATGTTATGTTAATGCTTTTAAAACGAAAATTATCCAGATTGCCCTAAAATATCGTCAGTTTTGTTCGTTCAAAGTTGTCCATGCGGGAATAATATTTTATCGCCACAGTGGTATGACAGCACAATTTCTAGTTTGCTTTCCAATTACGGAGGCAGAATATGATCTACTATACTCAAGCATACTTTTAAAGGAAAGTTAGTAGTCCATTTTATCATTTACGTTCAACCTTGATCGACCAGAGGGTTTCAAACTTTCAATTATCCATCTTACTTAAGCCTTTTTACAAAATATATAGACATGTCTTAGTTGGTACTATAAAAGATATTTTTATTTTTAGTACTTTTTTATTTGTTATTCTGTTAAACTGGAAGGCAGCTTTAATGAAGCTTTCTGTAGAGTGAGTCTACTTTAATAGTGAAGTTGAATTTTGAATTAGAACAACAAAATTGATTAAAAATGTGGGGTGTATTTATCATTCAATATCTAATTGAGTATAAATATAAGAACAAATATAAAATATATTCGAAGTTAATTTGAAATAATAATCTGCTTAATTAAACCTCAACCACTGATGGACTCAACTCATTGATACCAAAGTAAAATTGTCAGGCAACTATAGGCAGTGTGATATTCTGACAATAGAAGATAAAATATACATGCTTTTTTAGGTTGCCTTGGCCAACTATTGATGAAATTATCTCTAATTTAAGTTTCTAATTGCCTATACTTCAAAAGCATGATATCCATGACTAGTTGTGCTGTTTTGACAATGTCAAGAAACCCCAGGTGACAAAACACAACATTTGAACCAAGGCATGAGAAAGTCCGGCAGCACAATTAGAGCATAAATACAACAATCATAACATAAAAATTTGTATCATGTGGCAGTGCTATATATACGACTGTCTGTTATCATGAATCATGATTATGATACATGTGGAAAACAAGGGCGTACTACAATTATTGAATAGTGCATGAATATACTGATATAAATTCAGATTTACAATCTGAAAACAAAATTCAAATATTGTTTCATAGAATTCCTTCATGTTCCTAATTCTATTAAACCTATATTTTTCTTAATATTGAGGTAGTATACGACTAATTAGTAAGGTAGTTTAGTATTTTTGCACAAGGGAACATAACAAATCCTACATGTTGATTGGTCAAATCTTCGTCTCGGCGAATATTCCCCGACTAATCACCTTGCCTTCAGTGAATAATTGTTAAATACACGACGCTGTTTTTGAATTACAACCAAAATTCAAATTATTTTATAAAAAAAATTGGCAGGAGATTTTTGGTCTGGGAAGCCTGCTGCCAGGAAAAATATTTTTATCAAGGCTTGATTTGAACTCTAACCAGTGTTTCTTTTTTGAATACCCCTGGGCTTGGGGTGTGTATATAAACGCACAGGCACATGTATAGAGTGTCCCAAAAAATGTCCCCTCTGTTGTTGGTTAAGTACTATAAAGCCTGGTTTCCATATGGTCAAAAGATCGAGTCACAATCTTTCTCATCAGCCGAAATACAACATTTTAGAACTGAAAATATGCAGAGTGATTAGAACTAGTGAATACTTATGATTTATATGTGGTTTACAGGTATGAACTATTATTATATACAGACCTTTGAGAAAATTGTGACTCTACTTTTACGACCGTTATGACCATATGGAAACCAGACTTTTATACTCACAGTAATTAACCAACAACAGAGGGGACATTTTTTGGGACACCCTGTATATGCTGGGAGTTTGGCGGAAAAGCATCAATGGATATTTTATAATAACAAACGTTTATATATAAATGAATGATCAAAATTAATGAACAATACACTTCAGCCTCTGGAGTCTCTGCACTATAAGAACAATAAATTACACTCTGCAACTGAAAGTTCCAAATTTAACTGCAATATAAAAGTAGATTCACTCTTACTACAGAAAGCTTCATTATTAAGATTGTCTTCCAGTTTAACAGAATAACAAATAAAAACAAGTACTAAAAGTACAAATATATTTATTACATATCTTTAGAACTATTATGCACCTATCAATGTTTTCCCCCTGAGGGGGGGGGGGGTGCGGGCAACCCACGGGAATTTTGACATTTTTCAAATTTTGTTGTCAAAATCCCCACTGTTGGGCAAGGAATGGCTGTCAAAATTCCCCACTATATTCCTAAGATAACAAGGCACACACATGTTTTCCAATGCGAACATACAGTCTATACTGGTTTAAACTTGGTAAAAATTGAGACACTGTGTATAAAAGGCTATAAAATACCTTTTTCGATGAAACTTGATCGTGCTTCTCCGCCATACTTGTTACCAGGCTTTTCAATGTCAAAACCGCGCAAACTTTCAAGATGGCGGATGTCAAAATTTCCCGACTATGGGAGTTGATGCATAGGTCAAATTCCCCTCACTAGGGCTTCATAGTGTGGTCAAAGTCCCCTGGGTCGCCCGCACCCCCCCCCCTCAGGGGGAAAACAATGATAGGTGCATTAAAGACATGTACTGTCACTACTGTATATATATTTTGTAAAAAGGCTTATTAAGATGGATAATTGAAAGTTTGAAACCTTCTGGTCGATCAAGGTTAAACATAAATGATAAATGAACTACTTACTTCCCTTTAAAAGTTTGCTTGATCATATTCTGTCTCCGTAATTGGAAAGCAAACTAGAAATTGTGCTGTCATACTACAGTGACGATAAAATATTATTCCCGAATGGACAACTTTGAACGAACAAAACTGACGATATTTTTGGGCAATCTGGATAATTTTCGTTTTAAAAGCATTAACATAACATCTTTTACCCACGATGTAGCGATCAGGTTGGTAAAACTTCGCAAAGTATCTCAAATTCGGGAAAATTCACCTTGGTTCACGTTGTTCGCCATACATTTCTATAGTAATTTGTATCACTCCGTGGTCCCCGGAAGTGATTTTCGCATATATAATTTGGCTTCACTTTTTACACCTAGAGAAGCTATATCCAGTCTACTATTAGATCAGTGATATAAACGCACAGGCACATGTATAGAGTGTCCCAAAAAATGTCCCCTCTGTTGTTGGTTAAGAGGCTGTCTCCCTAAAAACCGACCACTCATATTTTACGTAAAAAGTAAAACCACCTAAAACTTTATGACCAGGATGGTTTGGGCTTTTAATTACCTGAATCGGTTTTACTTTTCTCAAATATTTTATTTTTACCAGATATACCGATCAATAGTCCCAGGGATCTCGGAAGCAAAATGGCGGCCGTCTAAACACGACATTTCCTACTAAATTCGGTTGCCGCATACGCGGAACTCTGACTTCCAATCTCAGTTCCGTTTGGATATTTTTTAACAACAAGTGGTTGAAATTTATCGTTAATACTAACATCCTTGATTTCATGTATTATTTATTCAAAACTTTGCACAACGTAACCACGTCTGATCCGCCTTGTCTGTACGGCCAACACACCACGTCGAGTAGAATTTGATATTCCCGAATCTGGATTGAAATTTCCACAATTAACTACCATAGTTGTGTTATATAATAATTAGTTGAATAATATAATACGTTATTTCGTGTGGATCTGTTTGCGTTTCTTCAACAGAATGCTGTCAAAATCCATCAAATTCGGTTTAATTCGCAAACGGAAATAATTGGCACTGCCAACTGTTCAGGTACTGTTGGCCAGAATAATTCACTAAATACTTACGAAAGCACAAGTATTGTGTTTTAAAAAAGCAATGTTAAATAGTTTCAAAACTAAAAACTACTTGAAACTTCTGGGAAATCATAAATATAGAAAATATCTTGATTCTAGCGCATTGCCAACAACAAAAGACGACAGGTCACGCACACAGTTGACCATTACGTTTAATGTTTTACGCGTTGTACCTTGCAAGTTTGGTAAACAAATGTGTGATGATGAGAGTTTAGTAAAAAGCGGGAATATTCCGTAGTGACCAGGAATATTCCTGCTTTATATATTTCTACTATTATCAAAAATCTTATTATTTAAATACTTTCCCATATATTTTCCCGCATCACGATACTATACTTCCGGTATGCATAATTGAAATCAACATACATATGAGTCATCATTAATTTTCGTCACTGGGCGCTTCTAGCTTTTACATCGATGCTTTTTCTAATATTATATTGTTGCAAACGTGGTTCTGTCCCATTAATATTATCGATTCAACGATGTCTTCGCTATGTTGTTTTATCGGAGGAAAAGAAGAATACTCTTGCTGCAGCGAGGAACTAATTCGTCTGACAGAATGTCAAAGTGACTTAACACATCACCTTCGAACTAAAGGCCCGGTCACACTACACAACGATAACGATACGATAAATTGTAAACACGCGATAATTGTCAAAAAAATTGTGTTAGTGTCCACACAACAACGAAAATGATAAAATTATCGTTAGACGATAACGATAACGATTTTAAAATCGCTCACCTGAGCGATTTTTTTTTCAGCCGGACGATAACGATAAATTTTTGACCAATCAGCGCGCGTATACAAGTTATCGTATCGTTATCGTTGTGTAGTGTGACCTGGGCTTATTAACCATCTTTCTTCTGAAACACTAACAGAAGTAGAGTTAATCCTTTTAAGGGCAGGAATAGTCAATCTTCGCCAGGGACAAATAGATGCAATGTGAATCTGTACAAAGCACCGACTCACTCTTGGAAAGCAGTGGAGACCATCTCGCCTATCCTGTCACTATACCCTAAACACAATGGCAAGCGAACGGCACTAAAAACGCGCGATACGATTGGAATAGACATGTGCAAAAATATACAACAGTTAAATCAAGTCCATGTTCCTGTTGGATCACGTAAGAACTTTCCAAATTAATCCTGTTCTTTAAAAGTTATTCGCAAATAAAATTGGTATATTGCCCTTGCACAGGATTGCCGCGTAGGTCATTCTAATTTAATAAGTAAAATTTCTTCCGTGCAAAAATTTCTTGTACATTTTTCATTAGCAGGGAGGGTGAAATATTTTCTCCAGACCCTTCTAAGTGTCGGGTTGGGAACTGTTTGAATTTCAGTTAACTTCAACTAAACCTTCATTCGTCTATTGAGCGATATGTGTTAAATGCATATAAGCGATGAATAAGTAAGAGAATGTGACAGCTCATCCTCCTGATTTTCATATTTATGTTCTATAATACTGTATGTTGAAGTCGATTGTGTAAATGGTAGTATAATAAAATTGCAACAAACATAGTCCATGGGCCGGTTGTTCAAAGCTCGATTAGCACTGACCCAGCATGGGTTAAGTATTAACCCGCTGTTTTGAGGGTATTTCTGTAAGACCCTTCATTTCAAAAGTAAAAACAAAACAAAAAACATCTACTGATCCAAAAAAGATTTCTGGAAAACCTATTTAATTTTATAAACAAGCTGTTGGAAAGTTCTATTTGGACCCAGGGTTAGAACAACCGGCTTTTGATGACAACTGGCGCCAGAATATAGAATGAAGCAAAGTGTGCGCGTGCGCGTTTCGGGTTGTGTGTAGGGCTGGGAGAAACGTGGTAACTTGATTACACCACTCTCGGTCGTTGTACTAACAAGTCTTTCACCTTATATTCCTGAGGCTTGACAGCATAATGAAATATTTTTAGAACAAAATAAACGCGCAGACGGAAAGAAATTACGATATTATTATTGTTGACTCGTTTGAGTCTTACCAATTATTAAACTTGCAGAAAGAAAATCAAGATTGTAAGGTTGCTGTGGAAATAAGGTTTTTAAACCAGAATTGATATGATCATATAAAGCCTCAATATAACAGTTCACATTTTTTGCAAGGTACAACACGTAAAACATTAAACGTAATGGTCAACTCTGTTCGTGACCTGTCGTCTTTTGTTGTTGGCAATGCGCTAGAATCAAGATATTTTCTATATTTATGATTTCCCAGAAGTTTCAAGTAGTTTTTAGTTTTGAAACTATTTAACATTGCTTTTTTAAAGCACAATACTTGTGCTTTCATAAGTGTTTAGCGAATTATTCTGGCCAACAGTACTTGAACAGTTGGCAGTGCCAATTATTTCCGTTTGCGAATTAAGCCGAAATAACGTATTATATGAAACTCTTCAGCTTGTCATGGCGGAAGGACGTGCTCTTAATAAGCTCCATCAAAATGTTGCTAATACAAATGAAAATAGTTGTCTGAATTCCTTCCTTACTAGTGCTAGTTGCACTAAACTGCCTGGCATGTCTTATGATGGAGTACGTTTAAAGTGGACCGGTGATTTAACAAATTTAAAACGAATTGTACGAGAAGTGTGGGGCCTCGAAGGCAAATGGTCATCACCTGGGGGCCAGTCGAAGAAGTTTTCAAGCACAAACTCTGACTTAGTAGTCACATGGCATAAAGGTAAAGCAAAATCAGTGCTTTTTAAAGGTAGAGACGGTGTTTCGGTGCGAGATCGATGTATATTGCTTTGCGAACAAGCAACTCAGTCCATGCTAAAGCCACATTTGTCAGACTCCAATGAAATTAAACTCTCGCAGCAAAATATTACAAGTGCGTGTGATTGTCCTAACCTATCGGACAGAAATATGAATGTCGCCATCGATTCCCCTTCCCCGGTTGAAAGTATACAAGGCAGAACTATCCATCGTTCAGCTCCCGCTTTTGTCAATAATCATTGCCAGACTGAGCATATGGAGCTGAATAATAATAATTGTGGTTGTGGCTGCGGAATTCTGGTTGCTGAGTTTGAAGGAATAAAGCTTGATTTAGTTATTTTACAAAAGAAATTTGAGACTGAATTTGCGACCGAACGTACCAATGTAAGCCAACTTAAGCGAGAACTTGCTCATGAAAAAGATAAAAACAGTCGTCTTGAGTCGGACTTGACTTTGTTTGTGAGAGAAAGAAATGCCGAATTCGATGAATTGAATGAAACAATAGCCTTACTTAACGACAGAATCAAAACCAGTGAAGCGATTATTGATCAACTGAGACCTTCTAATGCAAGCATAAATTTGGAAGAAACATGTACTTTTGATTCTGCTCAATCAAAAGATGAACTTGTCAGAAAATATCCAGTTTGTGTCGACATTAGTACACAAACCAAGAATGACGATCAAAAATTATCTAATAATAATGCTGGTCAGTTTTGCATGAGTGAAAATGCGTATGTTAATCTCCTTAATAAGGTTGCCGAAGTGCGCAACGAAACGGCTCATTCCATTAGTCAACCTCGCATAAATAAAAACGTTAATGCGAATTCCTCTAAGCATTTGGTCGCATGTCCATTCCTATTAAAGAAAGGACATTGTTTAAAGGGATCAATGTGTGATTTTTCTCACAATATTAGCCAAAGTCGCATAAGCAAAAAGGCAAGCGTGAATAATCCCATTGTGTCAGCAGAAGTTGCAACCTCTATTAAATACGATAATAAACAAGTAAGAAACAACAATCAAGCCACTTTTGCGGAGGTAGTGACATCTAGCCCTGCATTTAATACCTGCAACACACTTGAAAAATCTCCCACCAACAAATCCCAAAACAATTCTCTGCAAATAATCAATGATCCATCTAGTGACTTTGCTGACGGGTTTATTGGTGTTGACCGGAGACGTAACAGAGTTAAGAAATTCCTGTTAAGCGGGATAGCTGAAAACGTAAAAGAATGTCAAATTGTTTCCTATCTGAAACAACGGAATATAACACCTACATATATTTCCGTTTTTCCAAGCAAAAGAAAAGGTACGACATCGGCTAAAATCCATTTTCGTTCGGCCGATTGTTCGTTAGTGCAACAACAAAATTTCTGGCCTCAGTTTGTCAACTGCAAGATTTGGCAATCAAAAGGAGAAATTAGATCTAATATTACCCATCACGGGAAGTTCTCAACTTATGTATAATGGAGCAAATAGAAGTCAGAGTTTCGTCACGTAATTTTGGTTGCCGTGTGAGGCAAAGAAGGCGTACAGAAACGCGAGGTGTCAATTATAACAATCTAACCCGTATTAGATGCACAAATAATTATAATGAAAAAAACAAAAAACAAAATAAAGCTATACTCCCGAGAATTTGCTGCTTGAACGCACGCTCAATTAATGGAAAGGTTGATGAACTTGCAGCATTTATGTCCGTCAACAAAGTTCATATAGCCGCAATTACGGAGTCTTGGTTGACTGATGAGATAGGGGACGATCAAATATCGATTGGTGGTTATGTAATTCATCGTAAGGACCGGACACATGGCCGTGGGGGTGGGGTTTGCGTTTATGTGTCTCAGCAGATATCCATTACGCGATACTTGGAATTAGAAGATTTAAATCTAGAGTGTATGTGGTTGTGGGCTCGACCACCACGCCTACCGAGACCGCTATCTGCAATCGCAGTATGTGTAGTGTATAATCCACCGGACAAAAGTGTGCAAGAACAGAGGGAACTTTGCGATTACCTTGTGTCCTCTATTGATACTATACGCTCTAAATACCCTGATTGTGGCATAGTCGTTTTAGGCGATTTTAATCGTCTCAATATACAGGATTTAGTTACAAGTCACAACCTTAAGCAAGTCGTCACGCGTCCGACTAGACAAGATTCAATCTTAGACTATATTATTACGAACTTGAAATCCTTTTACAAAACACCGGATATTTCTGCTCCACTTGGAACGTCGGACCATAACGTAATCATGTGGATCCCAAAAGACATTTTTAAGGATAATAATAATACGTGTACAAAGCGCACTGTGCGTCGGTATCCTCAGTCAGGTTTGAATGGTTTTGGTTTATGGTCAACCAGGAATAAATGGTTTAGTGGACTCGGACTCAATCCATCGTCGGATGAGTTAGCGTCATCTTTTACCAATGATCTGAACACTGCATTCGATCATTTTTTTCCAGTGAACACAATCAAATTTCATCCCACGGACAAACCATGGATTACTGGGCACATAAAGCAACTTATTAAAGAACGCCAACGTGCTTTCCACACTGGCGACGCGCAATTGTGGCGCCATTACAGACGGAAGGTCCAGATAGAGATTAAAACTAGGAAAAATAATTTCTATACCCAAAAAATCCATAACTTGCGAAAAGACGATGTCCGTCAATGGTGGCACACTATTAACACAATGTCAGGTAGAGCGAAAAGTCAACCTCAGTTTACAATTGAGCGTGACGGACAGTTATTATCGGAAGGTGAACTGGCAGAGTCTCTAAATGATTATTTCGTAAGTGTAGCAAGTGATATCCCACCACTTGATATTTCAAGACTTCCAACATTCTTACCAGCTGCGGTGCCGCCTCCTACAATTCATCCTCATGAGGTTTGTAGTAAGCTCTTAAAACTTCAGACTAATAAGGCTATGGGCCCGGACAGTATTCCACACGAATTTTAAAAGAGTTCGCCTACGAACTTGCTGAGCCAGTTACATCAATATTTAATACATCTTTGTCCTCTGGACTAGTACCTGTTTTATGGAAAGATTCTACCATCATACCCATTCCTAAAGCGAAACAAACCCAGGTTGAGAGCGATACCCGCCCCATCGCACTTACCCCTGTGTTATCGAAAGTACTCGAAGACTTTGTGGTTAGTTGGATGGTTGAGGACATAGGTGGACAAATCGATAATCGTCAGTATGGCAGCCTGAAGGG